CTCGGCAGATGTCAATCCCGTGATACCCAGGATACTACATGCTGCTGCAATTTCTGCTTGTGCTCCTGCATTTTCAGCGCTTACTGCTGCAATTGCCGATTGTCTGAGCATAATCAGCTAAAGCTTATTATGCTCAGACAGCCCTCCTATTTATTGTTATCAACAGCTGCAGCAGCAAGCGCTGAAAAAGCAGGAGCACGAGCAAAAAATGCCGGGGCCCCTTGTAACTTGGTATTATGGTCATAGGTTCTTTGCTGGTAATTCAGATGTACTTATGGCTGTTTGCGCATATAACGTGCTGAGTACTGTAGTGCCAGTGAATAATGGTGAAATTTTGGCAATTCTTGCAATTAGTGATGGCCAGGAGATCGTTTTGCAAGCGTGTGACGAATACTGGTGGCCGATGCCATCCCCACAAATCCTTGGCCACCTTGAGCAGGGAGGGTTCCAATAAATCCAGCTATCAGCTCCACAAGTGATTGCCCTGTACTTATGTCTGAAGGTGTGTTGTGCGTATGGATAGCCCAGAAGGAGCTTCTTCACCGGTTCCTGTGCCTTGCTGCGGTTGCTGCTGCTCTTCCAGGTTACATTGCATTTCCTTTCATGTAAGCCCATGGTGTTGCTGAGCCAGACAAAGCCCTATATGCCACATGCCACTTCAATGTATTTAAGCTTATTCTCTCAGCCATAGCTGGATACGAGTGAGACACTGTTAAAATCATATCCCCCCTCTAGCAGTACCAGTGGAGGGTGTCCTCGACTCGGTTTACCTCGGGATCCTTCTGTGGCTGTGGCTGCACCCACACATTAACCAGTTGGAGCGGCCCAGTCACCTCCCGAATCTGCTTCAGCTGATATTTGAGCCTAGTTAAGAACTGAGATATCTGCTCAAGACCAAATGATATACAACAGCTTCAGAAAGGACTGATCAGGATCCTCGGGTTCAGGTATCTCGTGATATGCCTGTGATACAACAGAGACAAAGAACCCCAGCTGGGGTTCTGTCCCCTGCAGGGTTCTGTCCAAGCAAAGTATTCACGTATCAAGAGGATTCCAAGATTGCAAACTCTGCATGTGTGCGTATGGGTATGTATGGACATGCACATTTTCCTTATTAAGATGACACACTGCCAAGAAATCTCCTTGAGGAGGTCGTAAATGGTAATTGGCTGCGCTGCACCAGACAACCAAAGACACCCGTGTTCCTACTTGCGCATCATTAAAATAAAGGAAGTGATGCCACCGAACTTGGCTGCTATAAGTCTATGTGGCTGTGTGTATTGGGGGGGGGCCCTCACACACGGGGGCATTATCTGAACAGATAATAGATAACAACCCGTAACACTCGGGGAACGACTTGGATGGTCATGGATAGGGTATTATTCCCCCGCAGCCAGCTCCAACCGGCCTACATACTCGGCATGAAGGCCGATATAAGACACGGCGACTCACCCCACCTACCCCAAATCGTCATTGTTCCCTTCCCAACTGACCATGATTATTATTTATACCATACATATTATACCTATATATTACATATTACATATTTATTATACATATTATCATTTTAGTAAAATTGTTGCTATTTGTGGGATGGTTCTCTCCAGTATCAAGCAGGGGAGCCCAGGCAGCATGTAGGGCTACATGCTAATAAAAATGTTTTGAAATTCGCTGTCCCTTCCGTCCCCCAAAAGATATGACAATCCGCAAGGATACTGTACTGATATACAACATATACGCCGTACAACTAAACATATGGCATGACGGTGTAATTATCACCGATCACCATTCCCGTGCTCCACCCATCCGCCAAACAGGCAACGTCCTGCAGCCCAGCAGCCGCACATCTACATCCATTCCGCAGCAGCAGGGTTCAGTTCCCCAACCCCAACCCCCGCCCATACCAAACGCATACACGCTCCCTCCCTCCCATCCAATGCGCCCAGACATGCATACGGAGAGCGGTAATAATTTATGTACAAGGCGTCGTACACGGGGACATAGAAGAGGAGACACCGCAGTTCTATCCATGCCAAGCTCCCGGTGGGGGAGGGAAGGGCTAGGTGCCTTGTACGGCAAAAAAACGCTCCTCTCTGGTGATGCTGCACACAGAAAACACACTTCCATACATATACATACACACACACAAAATACACACCGTACCTCCTGTGTTAATATCGCTTGCACCGTCAGGCACACGCACGCACACTCTCACACATACACACACACGCATACACACATGCACACACACACACACATGCACACACACATGCACACATACATGCACACATACACACGCATACACACATGCACACACACATGCACAGATACACACATACACACATACACACATACACAGATATAAAAAGTATGCATACCGCATGAGCCGCCTTTCGTACAACAATATAATCATATACTGCATAACCGATATGTGTATTCCTGGACGGAAAGCCCGGGATCAACTGCACGAACCGGCACACCACACGCAAAGCGTATCACAGCACAAAGAGCAAAGCGCAATTACGGCATAGCACGACAGCGAGCAACATATTATACTGTTCCGTACACACATTGATATAGTTGGGATATCCCGCGCGCCCACCACTAACCTGTTATCCCACCATGCCGCGAGTAGTACACCTCAAATAATTTACGTCCATATTTGTCTGATCACTGTATGAATGTATGTAAGTAAGTATGTATTGGTGACACGGTGGGTGTTGGTGTCGGGGGGAATGATGGTGGGGGGAACAGGGGGATACAAAAACCCCGCACACGCGGCCTCCGTGGGACCTAAGATAACAGTCCCAGGAACAACGCAAAAAGCCGGGTCAACCCATGCGAAGGAATGACGTCATTGTCGTACATGTCGTACTGTATGCGGCTCACGCCTCCTCCTCCTCGAAGCTTATGTCAACCGCAGGGTGGCACCCCCAGCCCCCTCCTGCCGCCGTCCCACCCGCCATCACCAATATTATTATTGGGATTACCCACAATATGATCACCCCGGATATAGGTACATGTACGACTATTGCCGTACACCTGTCATCCTAAACACCCCCGCCGGCGACTCCCCGCCGCTGCCAAAGGCCGCCATCGCCCAGCCACCGCCTTGGTTAATGCCAACGTTGTCGCTGCTGCTTGCAGCACTGGCCGCACGTCCGGTACGACTAGCCTCTTGCCGTACAGCTGCCAGGTGCTCGCCGTTTACGAAGAAGAACGCCCTGTCAGGAAATTTGGCGGCATCATGATGTGCTGTGATGTGCTGTGACGTGCTGTGTATTAGCGTGTGTATGTGACGTGGGGAGGGTTAGGTTCCCCGCTGGGTATTTCCCCTCCGCCGACCCCCAACGCATCCGTACACAACACCCGCTGCTCACCCTCACCCATCATTCACCCCATCTCGATCCCCACAACCACCCCACCCCTCGCCCATTCCTCTCCTCCCCTCGTTACTCCCTCACCACACACGTCACTGACCCGCACCCCCACCTCCCCCACCTCCCTCCAACCCCCCCCAGCACCCCCACCTCCCTCCAACCCCTCCAGCACCCCCACCTCCCTCCAACCCCCCCCAGCACCCCCACCTCCCTCCAACCCCCCCAGCACCCCCCCACCCCAGCACCCCCCCACCTGTTGTCCGCCGTCAGCAGCACCACCGCATTGTGGTTGACCGCACTGTCCACCGCCACGCCGCGGAACTGCAACAGCGGGTGACTCAGAGCCACGGCGCGAGGGACGACGCGGCCCAGGGGCAGCGAGCCGGAGGGGATGGCGGATACCACCAGCGCGCCAGTAGCTGGGGGGGGAGGAGGGTTTAGGAGGGTGCGGGTTACAGACAGTGGGGTTTGGGGTCATGCAGGGGGTCTCGTAAGAAGGATGGAAAGTAGGGGCAGGTGGGGAAAGTGACGGGTGTGTTTATGTATGTATATATGTATGTGCAAAGGAAACCGGCAACTCAACCGGTGACCGAATCGTGTGCTGCTAAAGTTCTTTCCAAGGGAAATTGGGAAGGGTGGGGAGGGGACAGGAGTTATGCAATGCATATACAGACTTACATGCAGACGTACATGCAGACGTAGCTTGTCACGGCAGCTGGAAGCAACCCGGCAACCGGGTTGAGTTGTTTCGTGTTGACCAGAACAACGTACGGCAGGACAAAAGACACATGTCCTAGTTGCCATGACAGTCTATTACGTCGTAATAGCCACCATCGTACATCCTGTCGTACCTGTAAGGTCGTACAGCTGCAAGTCTCCTGATTTGGGGCAGAAAATCGCATCCCTGAAGGCTCCCTCCAGCGCCCTTAGCGGTTTCAAGCGGGCCGGTCCACTCACATCCCATAGCGTGACGCGGGAGTGCAAGTCGCGAGAAACCAAAATCGTGCCGTCGGGACTGAGGAGAATGAATGGGTTCGGGAAGAGGGAGGAGTTAAGGGGGAAGGGCGAAAGGAAAAAAACACATGTGTGTGTGTGGCGGAGGGGGTTAGGAAGGGGGGGGTTAAAGGGGGTTTTAAAGGGGGTTAGGAAGGGGGGGGTTAAAGGGGGGTTTTAAGGAGCGTTGGTCCGCCTGGGTGCGACGGGATTGGCTTTTGGGGGTGGGCGGGTAAGGAGCGTTACGAAAGTGGACGAGAAAGACTCCTCAGTCAGTCCGTTTGTCCGTCCGTCAGTCCGTCAGTCAGTGGAAGCCCTATGGCCCCCAGAACCTCCCCCCCGGGGTGTCCTAGGGTTTCACAGCATCCACTCACTTAAACCTCAGGGCCGTCATCCAGCTCTCATCACCACCACCGCCACCACCCTCCGCAGGCGCCGACTTCCCGGGCCCGGCCGCTCCGGAACCTGATGCCGTCGCCTCGTTTCCGGCCCCTCCTGCACCGCCTCCTGCGCCGCCTCCTCCACCGCCTCCTGCACCGCCGCCCCCAGGCAGCTGTCCAGAATATCCCGCCAAATTTTTTCCGGTACTGGAGTTGAAAATGTATACGGCACTGCCGCCTGGCATGAAGGGAAGGGGGATGGGGGGATTGGGGCGGGGGGATGGCTGGGGGGTATTCGGTTGGGTTCGTGGTGTGGGGTTTCCACGACACGACAGTGGCGCAAGGACGGGGGAAGGACGGGGATTTGGCGGGGATGGTAGGTGTCTCGGGTTTTGACACAGGGTGAGGACCCACTTGCGCGTAAGAGCAGGGGAAATACATCTTGCTACTGCCGTACTGGTTGTAGCAATCTGGCAGTGGTGGGAATGGGGCCGGCCGCATGCTCGTACATGTGTCATTGCCGTACTGTGCCGTACGTACCTGCACCCGATGCCAAGCGCGCATCGTCCGGGGAAAAGGCCAGAGCTGAAACCCAGGAGACCTGCGTGCGCGTATGTATGTATGCATGCAGAAAGGAAGGTGAGGGGAGAGCTGGGTGGAAGGGGTAGAGGATGAGTTCTCTTTTTAGGTGGAAGCAGCATGCATACGCAATATGCCGTACATCAGCACAAACAAAAAACAGAAACAACTAAAAACTGAAAACTCCATACCGGAAGCACTCGTCACAACCACATCGCTTTCCCACTTCAACGTCCCAGCACTGGAGCTCCCAGCTGCGGAAAACACACACACACACGCACACACATACACACACACACACACACCACTCTACCACTCCCAACAAATATACATTTATTCATTAGGCAGACAGACAGACAAAGAAAAGCCTTTTTTCTCGCCTGGTAAATGAGGTTAAGTTGCTCCCCGGTGGCGCTGTCCCAGATGCGAATCATTTGGTCATCTGGCGGGTGAGAACGAGGGAAAAAAGGGGGGGGGAAAGGGGGAATGTCGATGGATAGCTTCACCACAGAGATGAGCCCTGGGAGACGGGACGGGGCAACCGTACACGACACAACGTGCCACAACACGCCATCACTACTGGGCATATAGCTGTCCACATGTGCCGCATGTATATAGCCTATTAGACATAGCCCATGGCGCATGGGCTCCTACATATGCGGTCCATATATGTACGACGCCCGTGTACGTTTGTGGGCCGCCCATGTGTACATACGCTGTCGTACAGTACAGCTTCATACATGCATACATACATACATACATACTCACAAGACTAACCGACTTGTGCTGTGTGCTCCCGACCCTTGCGCTGTGTTTCGGCTTCGGCCCCCGGCTCTCGCGGCCCACAGTGTAATCTAAGTCATACTCACATCCTCCTGACGCAAGTTTTTTGCCGTTGTGCGCCCATGTTACACATTGTACTTTGCGGTGGTGTCCCTCCAGCACGAGCTGACAGTGCCCAGGGCGAAGAGGTCCCGAAGGAAAAGCCGCCGACGGGTCGTCAGCCGCCGCCACCGCCGCCGCCGCCGTCGCAGCGGCGGCGCCGTCAGCCGTCCTGGCCCTAGCCACCACACTTGTCGACCCCTCATTAGGACTTGGGGGCGGGCGAATGAGGTGGCGACTCGCGCTCATATCGTCATCTCTGGATAGATGCCAGTTGTTGTTCGGTGGTGGCGGTGTCAGTGGTGGCGGCGTCACCGGACGGGCCGCCGCCGTCGCATTTGCCACGATGGCCGCTGCAGCGGCGAGCGGGTCGCTGGGGGCCGCTGTCGGCTTGCCCACGTACCACACTCTAACCGTCAGATCGTCAGAACCTGAAGGGGCATCACCGTCACCATCACCGTCATCACGATGAGCAGCAGCAGCGGCAGCAGCAGTAATGATGGTACATCATCGGTCAAACAAGAAATCCCCAAAAAGCAGCTCGCAGGATTTGCGGCTGGTGGCTGGCAATTCAAACATTTCAGAATGTCGCGTGCCGTACAACATGCCGCAAATATGCACACATAGCAGAGCGAATCACAGCAAGATGCCTCCCGGGGCAGCGCATACCCGCACGTGTTGAGCTGTACGGATCCCAAACACGGCACACAACGCCCCGTCCCCCCTTCAAGGACCCCCCCATCGGGGCCCCACACGCACACTCAACTACCCCCGCAGCTGCTTTCCATCCTCTCTCTCTCTCTCTCTCTCTATATATATATATATATATGCATCTTATCTACATCTATCTATCTATCTACCTACCTATGTATCTATCTACATCTGTCTATCTATCTATACCTATCTATATCTATCTATTTATATCTATCTATATATATATATATAGCAACTGTTCCTTTCCAATTTTTGCACCCCCGTCCCTATCCCTATCTCCTTAACGTAATCGCCCCCTTCCTCCTCCCCCCCACCTTCCTGGCCTCCTTCCGCCCTTCCCCCTCCCCTTACCGGTGGCCAGCCTGCTGCTGTCCCAGCTCCACGCCACCGAATTGATCTTCCCCTCGTGGCCCCCCGCACCCTGGGGACCCATCACCGCGAGACGGCGCCCCGTGAATACGTCAATAACCCGCACGCTCTCCTTGGACACGTCGGCTGCCCGGGGAGGTAGGGGGTGGGGGGGTGGGGGGAAGGATGGTGTGGAGGGGCGAGTGGAAATGTGTATAGAAGCTGCGTGTGTGTCATGAGCACATGCGGGATGAAGAGGGGGATGGTGTTTGACCAAAGGTCAACAATACATGAGACACAATCTTGGGATCCGTTCGCTTAACGAACGAACGCAACTCCCTGTTGAAATCCGCGATTGTACCCGGCCCCTCTTTCCCCCTCCTTTCCCCTCTTTTCCCCTCTCTCGTCCCCCCCACCCCCGAGCTCCCTTCCCCCCTCACCCCCCTCAACCCGCTCACCGCACACGGCCGCCAGCCTGCTTCCGTCCGGTGACAGCGCGAGGAGCTCCACCCCCTGCCGAAGAGGCAAGCCCCCCGCACCGGAGGAAGGGGAGCAGTCCAGGGGCCGGGTCACGGAGGCGCCGCCAACATCCCAGATACGGACCACACCGGGGTCTGTATGTATGTACGTACGTATGTAGGCAGGTAGGTAGGTAGATAGGGAGGGAGGGAGATGAGGGCAGGAAGGGGCGCTTAATTGGTTACAAGTTACAAGTTAAATGCTTAATGGGAGGGATGGGGACGGGGGGGGGAAGGGTTTGAGGAAGGAAAGAAAGGATTGAGGGATGGGGTTAAATAATGCATCACGGAATATGACATGGCGACGTTTACGCTGCGGGGTTGGGGGGAACCCGGGGGAGTCATGTGGGGCCCGGGGTTTAATGCGGGGGGGCCAGGGGGGAAGGGGGGGGGGCAGCCCCCGGGGAGGGGGGAAAAACGTGTCAAACGGGTTTCAAGGTGCCTGGTATGCATTGTGAGGTGAAGGGTGACGTCGGAGGGAGAGTCCTTGCATTGGAGATGAAAATGCTCGTAATCGGACAAGAGATAGAACTGGAGCTGGACATAACGGGGTGGCGGCGGGGTGCCTCGCTGGCTAGCTTGCCAGCTGCCATGTCGTATCATGTCGTACTTTTCCGTACCTGATTGATCTGCAGATGCCAGCAATCTGCCGTCTCCACTGAAGCTGAGGCTGTTCACAGGGCCCTCCAGGCCGCGTAGCAAGCCCACCTGGTTGTTAATGAGTTGGTTAATCGGTTGGTTTGGTTAATGGGTTGGTTGGAAAGGGGATGACAGGTGTATACTTATTAACCACCGGACACACAGACTCCTGGGGTCATGCTCGCCAGAGCCGCTGCCCGCGGCTCAGTTCACTAAAACACACAGACACACGCGAAGGCATACACACGCGAAGGTATACACACACGCATACACACACAACCCTCCTTTCAAACACATTCAATTCCCCCCCCCCTTGCCCGATGGGCCCCACCTGCCGCTTCTTCAGCGGCGACCATAGCCGTACAATACCCTTGCCACACGAGTACGCCATCACGGGCACATCGCCATGAACATCCTCCACTGACTCATCATCGTCGCCGCCGGCACTGCTGCGGCCGTTTCCACCGCCAAATAGCACATGGTGGTGGTTATGGTTATGGTGGTTATTGTCACGATCGCCTCTGAAGGCCGTTGCTGGGAATGTGCCGGCGGCGCTGCCACGCGCGCTAGCGGGTGTGTCCGGTGTGGCAACGCCGCCGCCGCCGCCACCATCGCGCGACGGTGCCGACAGCGCGTTCGTACCAAAAGCAGCGGTTGCGAGGCTGGTGACGGAGGGCGCCGTGAAATCGACGACTGGCGTCTCGGCGTCGACGTCAGCGCCGCTGCCGTTGGGGGTCTTCGGACGAGGTAGCGGCGGCGGCGGCCGTGGCGGCGGCGGCATTGAGGACGGCAGCGGCAAGGGACTAAATTGGATGGTGTGTACGACACCTTGTCCAGCCCCGCCGAGGATGAACATCTGTCGGTAGTCTGAGTGAGACGTTTTGGAATCATTGCACCAGCTACGAATCGTCTCGTCCGCTGTCGTACGCACATTCGCCGTACAAATGTACGGCATTATGTTCACGCGCCGCCATCGTGGAGTTCGACACCGTCATGTGACGACGTGGAAATCATCGCGTGAGGTGGTTTATGGTTGGGTCGTTGTCGAATGACGTGGTCAAATACACGCACGGTCCAGGACGAAGGACGGGGGGAGAGGGGGAGGGCGCGGGGGAGGGTGTGGAGGGCATGAGCCATCATACACACATAGATTGGGCGGGTCGAGGCTCTATTTCAAGGGTTTCACTTCGGGTAATGTAGACGGACTCTTTACCGTATCTAAACGAGCCGAGGTGAGTGGTACGGCACGACACGTGCGTGTTTGGGGCCCTGACGCCGGGTTTTGAATCACAGCGACAGGTGTGTTCGTGCGTATATTTGTATGTCTGTGTATTTTGGGGGGGGGGTTTGAGGCTTGTTAACCCAGCGGCATTCATACACACGCGCCCTGCAACCTCCATCTTGTCTCCAACAGCTAACCCCCAGACCTTCCCTCATCCCCAACCCATCTCTTTTCCTGCGTTACCCCCCCCCCCTTCCCTCCCTCCATTAACCCCTTAGCCCCCATTTCATTTCCCTTCCCAACCTCCCCTCCCCCCACCCCAAGACCCTCAAACTGTTAAGAATATGAAG